ATAAATGAAAATAGTTTGCAAAAAAAAAAAAAAAAAAGGAAAATGTATTAAATTATTCATTGCTAAATTTTAATGATCAAAAAAGATACTATAATAAAGAGCAAAATAAATAAATTTTATAAATTAAATATAATATGTATATTTTTATACTATTATTTTCTTTTGAATATTAATAAAACAAATAATTACTGAGAGAGAGAGAGAGAGAGAGAGAATTTTACTTTCCTTATGATATTATTTCATTAATTATAATTAAAAGCAGAATTATTCATCATATCATTTTCATTTTAAATATGTTCTCTTCTTGTACTGTGTGACTAAATAAATGTGACATTGTTTAATGAAATGAAATGACTGATCACAATAGCAAAATGATCACGAATTTTATGCTTTTTGAAGAAGCATTGATGTTGGCAGTGGACATGGGCAGTAGTGGGCATCTGACCCAGGCAATCCGGGTAATCCAATCTAAAAATTTCTAATTTGTATGGGTAATAAATAATTTGCAATAAATGATGGAATTTTTTTTTTTCAGTAAGATATTTTATTCAAAATTATAACAAATGAAATAGCTTTTACCGAACGAGCGTTTCAGATAAATTAGCATAAGTGAAATTTATAATATCATTTTAATAAGTTAGATAAAAAATCCTTACCAGTCCTAAATGTCCATCTTTGCCGTTCTGTCCAGGAGTACCAAATTGTCCCAGCAAACCAGGCTTACCAGGAGGACCACGAATGCCATCACTACCATTCTTACCTGGTGGACCAGGAAAACCACGTTGTCCATTTGGACCTTTTTGGCCTATTGCACATTTTTCATATGTTCCATTCCGTCCTGATAAACCACGCTCACCTGGTTTGCCAGAAATACCTGCTGGTCCAGCCACTCCTACATCTCCTTGCCTACCTGTTGCACCTCTTTTTCCGGACAATCCAGCACTACCAATACGTCCCACTAGTCCGCGATTACCAGGAGGACCAGGACGTCCAATTAATCCTGGTGGGCCAGGTGGACAATAAATGCAATCAGCAGATTTTTCCTGGATGACTGCGATAATGACACTTGGTACGCCATGATAACCATCTTCTCCTGGTAGTCCATCTACACCTTTCCAACCTTGGTTACCTTGTGGTCCAGCTGGACCTCGTGGACAATGATTGGCAGAAGAGCAGCATTCTGAAATTTTTTGAAAATTTTTTTTCACGAGCAAAAACAGAGTTAAGATTAATTTTGGCAGCTAGCATCAGTGATATTTCATTTCTCTATTTTCATCTACATCTTTCTTTGAATGCAACAACATTCGAAACTTACTACAACTTTCCGGATCAGGTTCTCGTTTATGACGGATAAATAAATTAGCATAGGTTGACGCAATTTGTGCGTTACGTGATTGGTATATGTGCAACAAACGGATGGTATTCCACGTATCATTTGCTATTATCTGAAAAAGTTAAACTTGAATTTTACAAGAGATCACATTACAGACCATAAAAAGTATTATTCATTGTTTATTAATTAATATTACCTACTACAAAGTATAAAAGATTCTCTCAGTGTCTTATAATGGATTAAAAATTATTCGCATTCTTTCCAGTAACTTTATTTTCATTAAATTAAAAAATTTTTCAATTTAAAATTGATTTTAATTTAAAATAAAAAAAAATAAAGTATGATTTATCGCAATGTACTTTTATAGATTTCATATTCATAAAATGGAAATCAGTTTGAAAGAACCAAGTTGAAAAAAATAAACATAATTATCGTAATTTAACATTTTTATATTCTATTTCTTATTTTGATCTTTTTAATGATTTTACATCCTATGTAAAATATCAATAAAAAAAATTTTTTATTGCAATCCTCAAAAGAAAAAAAAAACTTGAGGGAAGATAAATAATTATTATGAAATGAAAATTTAGTGAAAATAATTTGAACTACTAAAATTTTAATATCTTATACAATCATTCAAGTGTTTTGCACTTCAGATAGATTTATTATTTCAAAAAAATGACGAATTAAAACTTTGTTTAAATAATGATTAAAACTTAATCAGTCGAAAATGATAAATAATTTTTGAAATTCTTTTATGTCCTTATCAATGCCATTTTCAACATTAATTAATATTCCAAATTACTTTCTTTTCTTATTATCTTTTTACTACTTTATATCAAAAAAAAAAAAAAAAAAAAACGAGAATTGAGACCTTAAAATCATGAAGTTCATTCATAGCATTGTCATATAATGCATTGATATCATTGAATAAAGATACAACAACAAATAATGTTGCGACAATTGCGCATGCGCTAATTGCCATAGCTATAGCAGTGAATGTATTGGCACCCATTAACGTAATGATAAACTGAAAGAATTAGCAGCAAATAAAATATTTAGTTCTTTTGTTTAAATTTTATAATCAAATTCTTTATGATATAATTGTTAATTACAAATTGTGAAACTTACTATTAAATTTACTATGAAATTTGCTTGAAAAGTTTTATAGAAAATTAACTTATATGTGATAATTTTCTGAATTTAAAGAATGTAAAACATTGAAATACGAATATTGCATCGTTTATCAGAAAGTAAACTGTAAATGCGTTAAATTCAGAAGTAACTTTTTACTAAATAATTAAATCTTACATTTAATTATCAATTTAAAGTAATTGAAATTCTCAAAATTATGCTAACATTTCAAAAAGTAAATAAAATTTTGAAATTTTCATTCAAAAAACATTCATCAATTCCATTCAATTCTTCTAAAACATTATTAAATTTGAATTATTCAAAGCATTTTTATAGCAAAATTGAAAATTATTTGCCCTTGAATTTGCAATGCTTTAGATCTGTTCTTTGCTTTCTTTGTCTTTTCATCTTCGCAACTGTTTGTTGACCTTCAATTTCTGTCAATTTTTTGATCATAAGAAACAAGAATTAATCTTAAAACAGGTAAGTTACCCAGAGATTCACCTGGTTGAAAATTATTATCCTAAATTAATGAACGGAAATAATAAAGAAGAGAATCTGAACTGAAATTCATATGTAAATGAAGTAGATTGTTTGGCATTGCTTAAATTTCGAGCAATTTATTAAATTTGTAATTGTTGAAAATTTGTTTTGAAAATAATAAAAGGATTTTTATCATTTACATATATTCGCTAATTTGTTTCAGATAAAAGAATAAATCAGAATGATAATTTCGTCTCATATATTCATATCTTATAACATACCTTTCGTATAGGTAAATTTGCCCAACTGTCATTATATTTAACTAATTGTAATTAAAGTTAATTTACTCAAGTACATTTCAAAAATGAATGCAAAATTTTTATTATTACTTTTATTACTAAAAGTTGCATAATTAATTACACTTTGAAATGAACGAACAAAAAATTTAATAATTCTAATTTCAAATTTTCAATTCTTATTCTTAAAGTATTGCAGTTCTTGAATTGTTTGTGCCTTTTGAACTATATTATCCATTGTATTTTCACAAAAAGAATTTCATTTATTTTTTTAGCACTACATTTTATAAATTTATTGATTTCCAGTCGCTAATTTGTTTGATTATAATTTAATCGTACAAAAATTTAATTTAATAAAACAAATTCATTTATTTGCTTTTAACTGAAAGTTATAGTCAATCATTTCTGTGACAACAAAAAAAAAAAATTTTTTTTTGATACGTTGGAGAATTTATTACAACGTATTATGATAACTGATCACATTAAAAATTTCTATTATTTTTGAGCAAATGATTGATAGTTTGTTCTATTCTTAGCATTTCATAAAATTCTCTTTGATCTTTTACAAATATTTTCGTCTAAAAATTAATTAAATTGAAAATAGCAAATGATAGTACAGTGAAATACACATTTGCTCACAGAAATAATAACTAATAGTAATTTCCTTTTTTACAAAAAAAAATCTTTCTGAAAAATTTGGTAAAGAAAAAAGAAATCAGCTAAATGTAGTTTATAAAAAATTCTCACAAATGTTATGAGCCATTAATAAGTTAAAAGATATAATTAATCAAATATGTAAATGATAGAAAAAAATTGTTGTGGTAGTGAAAGGAAATGAATTCTTGTTCATTTTTTCCACAAAATTGAATTTAGTATTTTAAAATGCTGCAAGTTTCATATCTTCACAACTTCTTAGACAAAAAGCAAAGTTTACAGTGTTTAATATTTGATAAGCAAATTTTTTAAGACTAATTTGCTTTCCTAATGAAATTTCGGAATTAAGTTCAACATTTTAAACTGTTTCAATATTGATAAATAAATATTAGCAAAGTCACTGTAAACTGAATGTAATTTATTAGTGTTAATCCAAAGTTCAAGATGATACCATAACTCATCAAAAGAAAAAAAAAGTTGAAAACAATACAAGTTTTGAGGTTATAAAAGTTTTATTGTCCTGAAAAATTCGCAAAAGATAAAATGTTCGAGTAGATTATATAGAAATACCTAAATTATTAAGATAGTAATGAGTTAGGATTAAAGAGTATTTATAGGGAGGGTTTTAAAATTTATAAGCTTATCCATATACACCACAAACATCTATGAGAAAAGTAAACAGATTAGCTTACGCTTGTATTATTCCACTTTTTTTTTTGAGATTGTATTGAAAAAGATGTCACCTATATTGACCATATTTGTGATTTTTCCTTTATCTCCGAAACAGAAGATGAACTGATGAAATTTTTGGATGAAGATGTGAATATTTCGTTATTTTAATGACGATTTTTATTATTTATTTAAATTGAAACAAACAAATCTTTATCACTTTGGAAATGAATAAATAGAAGATGAAAAGCAAAAGGATATTTAAAGCATGGAAAACATACAATATATTCTGGGAAGTTTTATTTTATTTGCATGACTTTTTTTTCATATTTGATTGAATAAAAATAATTCTAAAAGATTGCGAATATGTTTATCAGTTAAATAATCATATCGCAATAATGATCTTAAAGAGAAAAATCAAATGTTAAAAATCATAACGGCAACGAAACAACTTGTTCCTTCTTTCGCTCAAAATATCTTTGTCGAATTTCTTCAACTTTCTCCGAATCATTCCGATGATCTAATATCTTTTTGATTATTTGTAGCCTGGAAAATAATAACGCTTATTTTAAAGAAATCGTTTGAAAACATAATATAAAATATTCTAAAATCTTACAAAAAAATGAGTAATTTGTTAACTAGTTAAGTAATGTAGAACTTAAATTAATAATAGTAATAATAATAATATTAATAATGATAATGATAACAATAATGATAATAATAATAATAATAATAATAATGATAATAATAATAATAATGTAGAATTTGTATTTCATCTCATTTAAAATCCGTCAAAAATCGCTTATCTAACCTTTCTTCCTTCGTTTTCTCCTTTACAATTCTTTTCTTCGGTTTATCATTTTCCTCTCCTTTTTGTTTCTTTTCAAATTTCTTATGCTCCTTTTTTTCCGTAGAGTGATATTCACAAAAATTTTCGTGCTGTTTTGCAGAACTTCGTTTCTCTTTATGAGATTCAGAGCTGAAATTAAACATAATACAATAAATTGAACATTGAAATTTCACAAAACAAAAGACAAAATCTATAATATTTTACCTTTTTTCCTGTCGCCGTCTTCTATAACTATGTTCCCTACTACGTCCATGTCTCTCCATTCGTTTTGATAGCTCCTCATCACCACTGCTACTTGCCGTCAGATGTTCAGGAGATGGAGTAAAACGCTGTCGAATTTGTTCCGCCTTTGTTGGCTTTTTCACTTGTGGTTTCTGAAAACGGATCAAATTTAAATCAAATAGAAAAATCATTACAGTTTCTAAACTAATAATTTATTGGGAAATAATTTGAACTTTGGAAGCAATTAAGTTTCACTCAAAAGCACAAAGGCAAATAAATGTTCAAAATTTTCAGAATTATTTGGAATTTGAATAGAAAATGTGTTATTATTTTTATTAAATTATAATAGCTTCTTTTTCAATTCTTTGAAAAAAAATGCCCCCTCTGTTTCTGATACGAAGAAAATTTAAAAAACTTAATACAAACCAAAATATTTAAACCAGGCTTCAGGTTTACTGAAATCGTATTATTGAGCTCCTGCTCTTTGTCTGAATCATCAGAATATACTGATTTCTCTGTTTGATTACCAGTAGACAATTCCAGAAATCTACCATCATTATCGCTGTCTTTCCGTAATAAGGAAAGTTTTTTAGCATGTTCAACCGAATCCACACTTGTTTGTTGTACATCTGTTGTAGGGCTAATAATCTAAAATAAGAACACACTTGATATGTAAAAATTAATCCTTGCTTCTTAGTCAAAAAAGTTTACATTACTCAATTAATCAAATTTAATCATAAACCTCTTGCTTTATATCTCCTTCTTCTGTTTTAATTGCACCACTATCTCCAACAATATCATTCAACAGCGTCCTATAAAAGCCACCTTTCCATACGCCACTTTTTTGCCTTTCCACTGCTGTCAATTCTAAAAAATTAAATTTGGTTTGATCGAAAATTTTCAAATGATAAACGTCTAATGATAATGAGAAAATTGAACAATTAATCAATAATTTCGCCTAACTGTATTACTGTGACTACTCTAGCATTGACAAAATATGCTAAAAACTCAGTGATGATGTTAGCCTTAATAAAAAAAAAAATTAATTTGCAAAAAAAGACAATGAACCAACCGTCAAGCCGATTGTCAACTGCTTCTTGCAAACGGAAATTTTCCATTTCTGCTAGCTGTTTTTTGTATGCGCTCGTAACAAATTTCTGGAAAATAACAACTTTTCTTGAAGTGAAGAATCAATAAATTAAAACAAGATTATATCTGAAATGTAGTAACCTCCTTATCATCAAATTGTCCAGCTTCTGCTTCACGTTCTTTCTGTTGCTTACGCTCCTCTCGACTTTGCTGCGCAAGTAAACGCTTTTTGTGTGCTTCCAGAATTTGTTCTGCATACTTTGACTAAACAGAGAAATAATACTGTAAAAGATAAAAAAATTAAAGTATTTAATGCTATTGAATCCGGCTCTACGGTAAAGCGCTAGGATTGCAATAGTACTTCAGAATAAGTAAATGGTCTAAAGTAAGGGAGCTAAATGATATATTTTTTTGCACTGAGCAAATCTGCTAAATGAATAGACATTTATGATCTTCATTATTACTATGCAAGGTAATCTTAATCAAAACTATTTTAAAAAAAGTTTCATCTACTAAATTTTGTCTTCTAATTCAGTATAGTTGAATAACTTTAAGAGCTGTATTTTCAACTATACCTTTCGTTCCTTATCTGCAGCTTTAATTTCTGCAATTTTTTGATTTTTATTTGCTTGTAATTCTTCGTATACATTATCATAGTCAAAAATTGTTGGATCTTCAGCAAGCGCTTTTTCATGCTCACGCTTTGCTTGCATTTTTGCGCGCACTGTTGTTGAAGTAAATTCACTCGATGATGCAGCCTACAAGTGAATACAACAGTGATGTAAATCAAAATTGATAACTGAAGCTCAGATTCTACTTCTAATGGCAATTGTCGGTATTAAATAAGATTCCCGAAACTGAAAGTACCTCAATCCCATCATCTCCATCACTCGCAAATGCAGCAGCAATTGGTTTAACAGTTGAAAGTTCAGATGGTTTCTTTAAAATTAAACCATACCTAAAGAGGACAGTTTTAATTTTCGAAATCAACAAGTGGAATAGGAAGACTTCAACAGTAAGAAAGATTACTTCTTTAATGTTGTTGTCGACATTCGAAACTGCAATAATCAATACTGGCTCAGAACACCACAAACACTTGCTTGTCAATATATATATGGATTTCAACCTTTTTCTGATTGCTCTGAAGAAAACAATTCCAACTGAATTCGTTTTTAGACCTGAAACTGTTAACTAGTAAGTATACTCTTCCATCATTTGCAGTAACACACCAAACAACTACTGTAATTACTATTTTTTATAAATGCAAAAATTTTCAATCGAATTTCGAATATAAATCCTCAGTTAGGAGAGACATTAAACCATGAAATCATTTATTGGAATATGAGAATATAAATAAAATTAACAGAAAACAGATTGTGAGTAATGTTCATTAAAGCGAAACCCATTGATAAAAAAGATAGCACAGAGCATATATCACTTACAAATAGTAATGCACAAATATAAAGCCCAAGCATAATTGAAATCGAAGTTTCTTACGTTTGAGAACATAAAAAGTTCTTTGAGAAGTAGTCAGAGCAAGCAAAGAGAGAATATCAGCACATAAATTATGATGAAGGAGTAAAAACCAGAAATACTAACATAGAAGTTTTAAACAATATTTACAAACTGGCCACTATTTTAACAAAGCAAATAGATTTAAATCAAATTCCTCCCTGTTCCCTCCCCCACCCCCCAAAAAAAAAAAAAAAAAAAAACGATAAAGAAGAACGGAATGAGTTCATAACTAATAAATATGATTAAAATACAAAGCTAAAATATACCAAATAATTTGAACCCCTGTTTGCTTTTTCCAATCACTTTCATAAATACCAGTCAATGATAAACAAATAAGAAAAGAAAACACAGCAAATATTTTCAACAAGCCATCACTTAAATATAGAATAGAGCACAGAGAGATATCTTCATTGGAGTTATTAAATAAAACATGAACAAATTTTTCCTAATTGAAAAATGCCATTTGTAGCAAGCAAAACAATTCCCGAAACCACTGAACATATCATTCTAGACCAAAATAAGTATTAATTCCCTTTACAAAAGTGACAATTAATGGCTGCCATGCAACCAAATATCGAATCCAATCTAACAGTTGCCCATAGAACAGATGAGGCTTCTGCCATCTATAAAAAAAAATTGTGATTTATCTAAAATATCAAATCTCGAAGTTTAACATAAAAGCACCGAGTTTTTGCTTGAAAAATAATTGCTTAAGAAATAATGACAAAACTTACGGATGCTTAAACATCCTTTTAAGATCGACTTTTTCCTTGCAATAGGGGCATGTCTGTTGTTTACCAATAACACACCAACCGCGGATGCAAAATTCATGAAACAAATGTCCACATGACAAGCGATATGTCGATTCATAGTCAGTTTCCGTATCGTCTATTTCAAGATGATTCCCGCATACAGCGCAAACATCTGCTTCAAGGATTTTCTTCGGTAAACCTTCTTCTGTATAATACTATAAAAAAGAAAATTTCAAAATCCCTGTGTAAACAACAGGATAAAAAGGAAAGAAACAAACCCCAATTTTGGATGCAATACGATCCGTACATATATGCGCAAAATCACGACCAAGTACTCCATAATATAAGCCATAAAACAAAAGCAGCAAACCAGAGTCCATTAGAATTTGTGCTTTTATAGCGAATATATGATTCAAGCCCAATAATGTGAACATGATAAAAATATATCCTGCTATTCCAAGAACATAACTCAATTTATGCAAAAATAGGAACCATTTATAAACCAGCCTGAAAGAAAAAAAAGGAACATACCACTAAAAAAATAAAAACCAAGTAGGTTATGCCATCGAACTATTGTTAATTAAAGAATTAATGAAAGAATCAAATTTTAAAAGTTTCGTTTCACATCTGAGCACACGATATACGTTTCACAAAAATAGAAAAATTTTTCTGAACATGAAACAATCTGTTCAATATAAGGCAAAGAAATATCCATTAAAAAAATGGAAATCACGTAGGATAAGTTCGAAAATTAAAAGATACACTAACCTTGGTGTTTTGCCTGATATTTGTGGACGAGTAGCCCTGTACCAAATCATAGTTGACAGTACGGAATATACAATCCATGTTACCAAAAATCTCCACCAGTATCGCTGAACACATATGAATACAGGAATTAACCACATGCCCAGTAGTGTGCATAGCTAAAAAAATTATTTATCACATATCAAAAAAAGTTTGCAAAATCACGAATACGATTAATAAAAAGACATATAAAATTGTATGTTTAAGGAATAATATAAGCAACAAATCTCATCACTATTATTACGCAATAATATGCCTTTGAATTTCTCAAACTGCTAACATTCAAAATAATTTTCTCAAACTAATGATATTTTAAACAAGTAGTATATCAAACGAAATGAAATAATGACTTGCATTATTAAATTCCATCAAGAAACCCACTAGGATTATGTTTAGCATTTAGCGCAGTGCTTACTGTAGTGATCACTGAAATCCAGCTTAGAACAAAATAGCAGAATTAACTATCTAAAGATAATTATAGCATTACAGAACAAGGTATTGCAAATTAGCAGAACTGAAGGCAATAAACTATCAGACACAACTTTTGAAAACAGGCCTGATACGATTTGAAGTGCCTTTTTTTCCATTGTACCAATGCAATTTGGGCTACAACCAATGTTACTATCAGTATCAAAAAGATTTCCATATGCATTTGTTCATGTCCTCGATGTTTTTCGTGCAATTTCGCATGCTCGATTCTCCACTGTTCTTCTTCATCCATTTCCTCAAATTAAATTAAAGATTAAAGCAATTTAAAAAATCTCTATTAAAACTCTTATCGATAAAGTTCCATCTTTCTAAATAGTTGAACATACTGTAAAACAAAGAGATTAAATCAAAGAAAAAGGTCAAATAGAGGAAGAAGTCAAAATGGTAAAAATCTAGTGGTGCTGATGATATTCTCTAACTGAATCTACCACTCTTATTAACAGTCCATTGTTATAAAATCATAATATTTTAGTATATATCTAGGATAAGAGAGGTTTAACAAAACTATTCCAATGAATTTAGAAGGAAACGGTGTTTGTAAAAGCGAATCAATTAAACAGTTAACAACATATTTTTCACTTATGACTTATAATTGACTTATTTTCCAGAGAAAAAATCACTAAATAAAATTCATCATATGCAAGACATGCCTAGGTAGTATGCTGCTAACTGAGTAAACACTATAATTTATTAATTCAGTTTGAAAGTGACAAAAAGTTGTTGTCATCAACTATCTTTTTCACTTAGTACACACATTACACACTAGAATTATCATTCAAAATAGATTAACTTTAGCAGTACTAGAAAATAATAAGCATAATTACAGATCAATATGGGTATTAAAATACACTTTGGTAGGATGAAACAAAAGAATTAAAATGAAAGCTATAAGAAAAAAAGCTTACTGAAATTTCATTCTGCAATCGAATAGCACCTTGAAATTGTTGCGTATTGTATTGCTGCATCCTCACATTTAACTACCACGTTGCTATAAAATCGAACAGAACGTATAGCTAAACTGTAAAAAATAAGTACAATAATTCACTAATTCACAATTAAATGTTTTCAATATTTAATATTTATTATTGTAAAAATATAATATTAAAACTAAACAGCTAATGTGTTAGAGAGATAAAGTTAAGTAATTTTTTTTAATTAGCTCTAATTAAAACAAAAATCATTTTATGTTCCAAAAATAATGTCAATTACTTACCTGGACACTTATAAGTCCTTCAAATCTTTTATTCTACCAAATAAACATCTAATACCATCAGGTATCAATATACGATCAGGTATTAACATGCAGAAGAACAGAAGGAACCCGGAAATTTTCAAAAGAAACGGTTTGTAACGCAAAGATTATTCTGTTTGCATTGTGACATCAAGTAATAGAAAAGAGCGAGAAGAGTGTGCGTCATAGCTTGACGTAGCTTACGTAAGTTGTGATTTCTGATGTTTCGTACTTTGTGTGATTTTCCTAAGCTAATGTTTCTTTTTTGTTTGGATTTGTATTTATATTAAAGTCAAAGAATGAATTATAAATAGAGTAGTCACATTTATATATATATATTTTGCTTTGTGTAATCTTTAATCTCAAATAAAATGTAAGCAAAAGATGAAGTTAATCTTTGATATTCTCCAGGTTTTTCTTTTTTCGGTTAGTATAACCTTATCAGTGGTAATATCATCACTACCTTTACTTCTCGATAATTATCTTCTAACACCGAACAATGGTAGGTGTTACTCAGACAGAAAATGCTGAAAGTCATTCTTCTTCGAAGGAAGATGGCAAGAAGGACGATGACACAGCAAGGTATATATATATATGTTTTTCTTTTTTTTTTTTTCAGTCTGTCTTATTATAATGTATTTCATAAAAAGGATTACTACGATCACACAGTAATATGACATTCGCCTAAATTCTTACTCTTACTTTTTGACTTGACTTAGTTTCATTCTCTATCGCAATGAATGTAAAGATGTGTAGAATTATCTATGGATGTCAGCTATCATATTTTTTAAAGGGGTTTAAACACTAAAGGGTAACTTGTAGATTCGATTGTAACATATGTTTGGATGTAGCACGAGATGCTGTAGTGTCGATGTGTGGTCATTTGTTCTGTTGGCCATGTCTTCATCAGTGGCTTGATACATGCCCTAATAGGCAGCTTTGTCCCGTTTGTAAATCTGCTATTAGCAAAGATAAGGTTATTTTTTTTCTTTTTGTGTGTGTGTGATAATGCAAGTTATAAATTAAAGGATAATTTACAAATTAAAAGGTAATTGAGACAAGGAATAATTCCGTGAAACATTCATGTATTTGAAATAGGTGATACCGCTGTATGGAAGAGGTGGTAATGATACAGACCCACGAGATAAAGTTCCACCACGTCCAAGAGGTCAACGTACCGAAATGCCCCAGGCAAGTTCTCATTATTGTCATATTCATATGAAAAGAACACATGCAAGAGGTTTGAGATTATTCTTAGAGT